GATACCACGAAATGAACCTCTTCCTTCTTTATTTAGGCGAAGCAACCGCGCATTTACCAACGGTCGCCCCAGATACAGTACTGTATCCAGGTCTGCGTGACTGAACACGGGCGGAAATGCTTCTGCCCTTATTTCATCTCTTTTCTGCCCCGTGCTTTTCATCATCTGGAAAGTCTAACTTCCCCATTGGTCAATTCAGACAATAATCTCCCATCCATCATAACCCTCCACCCAATCAGCGCACTTCTCCTTTATTAGGCTTCCCCCACCCCCTAGCAGCTGCTAAGGTGGCCGCTATTTTTCTTTCCTGGCTTCGCGGAACAGCGGACCGAATCTTTCCATTGGTCGGTTCATTATTCTCCGCCCCCTCCCCGATGACAGGCTCGGGGAGCAGCGTAGGCGCGACCAATCAGCGCGTCCCGACAGGGTGTCGACTGGGCTAGCAATAGCGCTGGGTGCTCGAGGTTGGAGAGAGTCGGAAGTGGCTCCGTGGGGGCATCGCTATCGCCATGGGGGCTGTGCTCGGGATCTGCTCTTTGGCCAGTTGGGTGAGTCCGGGTGGGTGGATGGGTGCTGCGGGGTGTGTGTGTGAGACTGAGATGGATCCCAGTCCAGATGGGGTGGATCCCGCTAGCGGGGACCCGGAATCCAGCAATCAGAGGGAAATGAAAGACGAACATCCGTAGCTTTGTATCCTACAAAGGAGCAAAGCCTGCTGTGGGTTCTTATGGCAAATCGGGCAATTCGGATCTCCCGATTATTGTTCTGTTATTATATGTAACGGAGCGTGCATAAGCCCACCAACGTGCCTACCGTCCCTGTCCTACTATCCCCACTTATCCGTATCCATTTCCTGTATTCATAATCATGTTTATACTTATATCTGTTACCTTATATATGCTTGACAAAATAAAGAAATAAAATATTTCAGATCTGGGGGCGGATATATATCTAAAGCAGGATACATAAACAAGGGGGCGGTGTCTTCTGCTCTTCTTTTGGGGTATCCGCCTAGCAACAAGCGAGACCCCCAAGAGGTTCGATAGGCTGTAATCCTAAAATCTGGGAGTGAACCTCATGTCCATTCGAACGAATATTAATTCTTCCAAGTAGTGTAAAAAAATAAGGCGTTCGATCAAACTATTTAAATTGTTTTATTAAATAATTTAAACCCATTGAACCAGAGAATGGGTGATAGGTAAAAAACCCCTACCAAGTTGTGGAAACCTACACATTGAGTTATTTCATGTAAATATAGCTGTCAAGATGGTAGTAAAAATTGGATTATCTAAAGCTTTGATTTTGTTTAAGGGTTTGTTTTGATTCTGTGGGTTGTACTTTCATTTCCTTCCATCCGTTTCCTGTGCCTTGTGATTTAATCTCTAAGAATTATACTTATGTCTCAGTCAGGAAATGGCTGCTGAGTCATAACCTTTTGAGTGGAGTGTGGTAGATGGCATGTCCACATAATAACCAAACCATCAAGGTGACTGGAGCCATCCCATTGTTTCTAACCCTTCTAACTTCTCTTTCTTTAAACCCAGTGAATTATTCTAAACAGGTTTAGGTGGTCATCCCTATTCCCTAAAAACAGTTTGGAACCATGGATATTTTTGCAGGCTGTATAGGAGAGAGATAACATCTATTCATTTCCACTGGTTTGCAGGCATTTAGAACAAAGTACTTTACAATGAAGACAAAAGGGAATATAACTATTTAAAGAAGGCAGAGATTGCAAAGTGAACAAAGGGCTGCTTTCCTGTTTCTGCTCTTCAGAGAGATTAAAACATTAAAATGCTTGGGAATCAGGGATGGTCAAAGCTTCCACTTGAGTGCCTCTGGATTGCTTTCAGTCTGAGCAGAACTAAGACTTATTCAAAGTACAAAGTGCTATGTTAGTTGGCTGGTATAGATTTTTCCTACAATAAAATATATTATGTATGTTGTGAATTACTAAACTTTCAAAAATAACCAATGCTACACTAATTTATATAGTAGTTCCATCCATTCTATACAACTATTGGAAAATTAAGGGTTTTCTGTTATTTAGTGTTGATATTTA